CTTCCTTTTGTATGCCTTTTTAGTAAAGGCAGATAACAGATCAAAATATATAAAGGCTCTTTAAAAGATTTACAATACAATCTTCAAATAATGGAAAAAAAAACCTTGAGATGGTAATACAAAAACTTTAAATGAGGTTGAAAATACTCTTTAAAAATGGTGCACCCACCTAATAGAAAGACAAAAAAAATCAGAAGTGGAGCTTTAGCAAATTCACTTGCACCAATAGGACATTTAAAAATTATTTATTTTTTAGAACACAATTCTATTTCACTTGATTCACTTCATTTTTATATTTGCTTCATCTGTGAGAAACAACCCAGTTCATCCACAGGTAACAGCCAAAAATAGCTTTTCATTCTGGAACCTTTTTTTTTCTGTCTTCAGGATGAAGTTTCATGTCTCTTCATCTTCTGACTTGGTTGGAAATTATTACACTACATAGTCAAAATTTTATTAACTTCTGAAGACCTATAATCTGCTATATATATCTTATATATATATATATATATATATATATCATTGAACAGACTCAGACAGATCTTAACTTTAGATTTATGTGGGTGGAAACCACCTCTTTGCTTGAACAATAAATACATAGAGTACTGTATATACTTCTGTATAAGCCAATTTCATGTATAGTGTTAGTCCTGAATTTGTTTGTGAAAAACAGGATATTTTCATTAGCTCATGTATAATGCAATCCAAGCTTCTGAGCAATACTATCATAGTAAATATTGCAGTACTGAGCATGATCCTGGACATATTTTATAGTAAGTAAATAGTATTCATTCTTTTTGTCCAAAGCTACCTAAAAATGTTGAGAAAAACCACTTACTGTAAAATATCTGCTACAAAGATTTAGATACCATACTTTTGTTTTTCGTTCATGCTTAACTATGATGATTCTTAACCTCTTCAAAAAAATTACCTGTGTAGAATAATGTGACCCCCGCCTATTTTTTACATCAAAACTGATCATAAAAACTTGCACAACACTCAACAAGTATATACAATATATATTTGTTAAGTTTGAAAAACGATTTTTGGAAACAGTCCTGCTTGACTGAATTATTTTCAATTATTTTTCTTTTAGAGCCAATTCTAAATTTAGTAACTACAGACAAATGTAGCATATCAAATTTAATTGTTTTATAAACCGTCTGTCTTTCTTTTAAATACAATTCTCCCAAAAGTAAGTGTAAGAGACAAACCTAGACTAATATAATTTATTTATTATCTACACTTTTTAGTAATCATTATTTTATATTAAAAATTTAAAAAAAATTAGACAAGAAAAACAAACTGGATGCAGCAAAAGTCAGACCATCACCAGAAGTAATTGTCTCCTCCACTATACTGTCCTCCTCATAAGATACACACCATCAAAAATGGTAGTTTGAAAAAATCATAAAACAAGCTTAATCCATATCCTCAGCTTCCCCTTTTCCTGTCTCTCAATCGCTGCACCTTTATAATTTCCACAACCTTGATCTTAATCTCTTTCCCTTCTTCCTCCTCTACCCACTCCTTCACCTCTTTCTCCAACAACTACAATAACAGTAACTATCTCAAAACAATAAAGTAGTTCTTCAGTGAAAATGTATCCTGTCACCCAGGAAAAAAATATAGATTAAGAGAAGATATTTACCTTGATTGGTCAAAAGTTCATAGGATAGGCCATCAGTATCCTCACCACTTAGTATATTTTTCTCAGCTGCACAAAACCAGAAAGCCAGTTATGTTTCCATGGTTTTCTAATTTCAATGGCCTAGAAGGGTTAAATTCATTTGTGTCCTTCAGTAATTCAGTGTTGGTATACAAAGGTTATTCAGAAAATTTTAAGCCTTACCCAGAACGAAGAGCCATTTTTGTTGTGGCAACACACTACCACTTCTTATAAAACTAGTAAAACTTATTCAAATTTCTGTCTTAATTTCTGTGCAGGTGAAACCCATACAAAGGTGAGTGAAGAAGTGAACTGCAGAATTCAAGCAGGACATAGACAGCACAGAAGATTACCTTCAGTCAGGTTGTCCAAAAACCTCAACCACTGATGAACAAGTTGATGCCATTCACCATATAGTTTTTGATGACTGTCCAGCAGATAGCTAAGTTCTTGTTTGGTCCATACTGTTTGAGGATGAGCAAACTGTCTGCAAGATAGGTCCCAATAATGCTGGCACCAGCACAGAAACTGAAAAGGGTTGACACTTCTGACTTGCTTCCAGGCCAACCCTGAGAATTTCCACCAGAGATTAGTAACTCAAGATAAAACTTGGGTTCACCACTTCAAACCTGAATCAAAAATTCAAAGCAAATAGTGGAAACACTTTGGTTATCCACCCCAAAGAAATTTAAGCAGGCAGCATCTGTTGGCAGGGTGATAGCTTCTGTTTTTTTTTTTATTCTGAAGCTGGAAGCAGGGGTGCTCAAATTCCACCTGCATGGTCACTATAATGGGCACAATGATAAGATCATATGTGCTGTGGAGGAGTTTTTGGAGGACCAGGACTCCACCTTCATCCAGGATGGGACTGCAATGCTTAAGCATCATTGGACCAAGTGCATTGATGTCAAGGGGGACTGTATTAAAAATAGTGAAAAACTATTTTGTTTCTCCAACTCCTTTTGGGTAAGGCTTGCAAAATTTTGTATGTTATCTACAAGATACTCATTTTATTGCAAGTGACTGTGAAGGTATTTTGTCAAGAAGGTTTCACCTCTTTTCACCATATAGATATTTAAGAGGTTTTTCTTGGCACTCAACCTGTATGCTAGTCTTCAGAGATCCAGCAGACAGATTGTGTGCTGGATCTTAGTATAAAGGAGGATGCATTGAGGTTCATTAGAGCTTATACATTTAATGACAGCAGGAGGTGAACTGCTTTTTTTGTTGCACTGACTCCTTTGTGATACTGTTGAAGCAGTTAATTTTAGTAGGTGATCAGAATACCAAAGCAGACCCAATGCAAATTGAGTAGGCAATAGGAAGGTTACTTATATTACTTCACATATTATGTTTTTCCTGAATTTAATTCCAAACTTGATTTAGTTAATAAGTTTTGAAATGAGCATTCGAAGTTTAGACTTATCAGGATGACTAGGGTTAGAAACAATGTTCTTGCTGTGAGTTTTAAGAGTCAACTTATTTTGTCCCAGTTTTCATAGTTTAATCAGACTATTGCCCAGTTTGGATTCATTTTTATTTAACAATGATGTTGACCTTGTACAAGGCCCGAGAGACACTCAAGGTAGAGAGTTACAGATCGAGTAGTACAGTTTATGTGGATATGTGGAGAAAATAAGCAATTAATCATAGATTTGAACAGGTTAAGATTGTAGTGATCTGGGAAGCATCTTCTTAAGAGTCAGTTTCACAAAGGAACAGTTTGTGGGAAGAAGTTGCTTGAATGGAACCTACATCTCACCAATGGAATATGAAGGTGATTCACTACAATGTACGTGGCATGGCAGGTCTTAGCCATGAAGATTAGAACCGGTGGAATTAATTTGTCTGAGCACTTTCCATGGAAATAGCAATAGAGCAGTGAGAGACTTGCAACATTTCATCTGTGAAAAAGAGTTGTAGAGTGGAAAATAATTTGTCACCCACAAGGACAGTGACGCTTCTGGACTATATCAAGACTGGAAAATGAAGACTGGGCAGCTCCTGCCCATATATGGCAACAGTCCTCCATTTTGGGGCTGATCTGGCTCTTGTAAAGGTAGAAGATAGCAGGAGGAGTCAGGTACTTACTAGAGTGGTACAGGGAACTGACCATTTTTCCAGCATCTTTAGCGATGGATTATATGTACAAGTTCAACTTGAGGTGTGGGCTGAATTTAAGTTCCAATAGTCACTCCAGTTTGAGGCATTGAATATAACCAGCTAGTTTTCCCACACTATGGCTAGACATAGGATGTTTTTTGAATGTGAATAATTTTCAGATAGTTGAAAAAATGTAATGAGACAATTTCAAAAGTAGAATTTTATCATTTGTTACCAATTCAGTCTTAAAATAAAGAACAGAATTTTTTCTATATTGGTATATGCTTCCTAAAAATATTGTACATTTTACAAATTTTGTTTTAAATATTTTAATAAAATAATCTGTATTACTACAGTAAAGAACTTTGCCAAATTCTTATTGTATTTTCATTTTATTATTAATTTTTTCTCTTGTGCTAATCTCCTGCAATATTACTCGTGCTTAAGACATTGATTCTTTATTAATATTACCTCCATTAAGTTATTTATTTTTAAATGTTATTCTTGATAATTTTCTCCTATAGTTTCCACTGGCAGAGAGAAACTTACTTCTAATCATCCCAATATTAGCACTACCATACCTGCGATATGATCATAATACTTTGTTCATGGGGAAAAAACAGACATAGACATGTATAATTCTGTGATAGAATTAAAAAAAAAAACACTTTATTAAAGAACATTCATTCTACCTACATTCTACAAGTAGTTTGTCTAGGAACAGAGTTACAGGGGTATTCGTGTCTGGAATCAGTGGAGGAACATGCATATGTTGGCGTCATATTTATTTATTTATTTATTTATTTATTTATTCATTCATTCATTCAAAGACCCTTTTTCTCTTGTTAATAGGAAAGAATGTAAAAAGAAGGAAAAATGTGATGTTCTAAATATTTTAAAGGGGGTTATATGCTAATGAGGTTGAAAACCATCCAATAACAAGGCTCTATGTCACGTGTGGCTGGGTTAGATGGGGAAAATCGAATCGTCGTAGCAGCCATTATTCGAAGGCAGTTGGATATATACGGTGACCTACTGAGCAGTTTATTTTTTTTTTTTTATTGTGGCTCTTAAGCAGCAACCAGGATTTATTTTAAAGCAGAAATACTTTTCGTGGTTTTCTTAACAGCAATCCAAATTTCTATTTATAAAAACAAACCCCTGTCGTAATTATTTTTTAAAAAGAATAACCAAAATGGGGTTCGAAGTGTGTGGACCTAACGAAGTGATGGTCGTCTCCGGTGAGTCTCTGGGCAGATATCCTAATAAACATTAATGAAAAGTAAAACTTAACTCTTGATGTAATTAGTAGAGGCTTTATGAATGTAATCACTTACAGTTATTTTCATAATTGTCTCCTTTGACAATTAAAAAAATATATCCCTAAAGTTAAAGTACTATCGTCGTGATTGTTGCTATTTCGTTTAAAATTTAAACTTTAAATGATTATTCACCCACTATAAAAAAAATAAATAAATATCCATGTTTACTGTGTTTTTTTATGCATGTGGAAAAAAAAAGTATAAAATTAAATTGTAGTATCGTCTTTTAAAATAACTTCCGAAGTTGGTTATTGTCAGTTTGATTGGAAAATAGTTTTTTTTTTTTTTCAGAAAAATGATTGTTAATGTTAAAAAGATTTTTTTTTTTTTTTTTTTTCAATCTGGGCAAAAATAGAAAAAATATCAAAATTTTATCCTTTTTCTTCATTTGTCTTGTCATAATTAAAATTTTAATAATGTATTGTGGATAACACTAACACATTTCGAAGATCACAAAAATTGTTACAATGTTACTATTTTGTTACAGTTTGTTACAAAATCATTTTTGATTGAATTTTTTTTTTACACATCTTCAACAGGCAGTAAACATTTAACCAGCATTTATTTACATATTTCTAAACTAAAGTAAATGGAAATTTCTAAATAATTGAAATAATGACAAAACAGTCATTATTTATGTGTAACATTTTATTCAAAATTTGAGAAAAATAAATCTTACTGCACCTTTTTTTATGTGATTTGCTTTGGATAAAAAGAAACAAAACCATTTTTGCAGTTGCTATCCTTTTTGGCCAAATAATGGGTGGATTTATCTTTAAAGATAAACAAAATATTAGGACCTAGTAACTAGGTGGAAAAAAAATTCGTTCTTATTTTTCAATGAATTTTGTTTTTGACTTTGTAAAATGTAAACAAGGCTTGACATAAAAAATACAAATTTTTATCAAAACATTTTCTTGTAAAAGCAAGAAAGAAAAATGATATCTTCAACTTTAGGTTTTGCACTTTTATTTTATTCATGTTAAATTCTTAACAGATTTTATTTTAATCTTAAATTCAAAGGTTTTTTTTAGATTTGTTATCTACTAGTAAACTTCTGGTTTAAACAAATGTCAATTTTCAGATGTTGCTTTCTTCTGTGAAGATAGTGTTCAATTCAGTTTTTTTTTTTTTTCTGGATTCCTGATTTATCCTATTTTTATCAATTACTTTATAGCTTCTATTTTATGTTGCTATGATGATTAGTAGATCATAACACATCCTTTTTTTTATTATTTAAAAAAAAAAAAATCATTTCATTCATGGTACTGAATTTTCTAATTATTATTTTAGTTAATTTGCTGAATTTGAATATTTTTGTCATGTAGCAATACAGTAGTATCCGAATACTGAAATTATATCTAAAACTTTTCATTAAAAAAACAAATATACTTTTTCTTTCTTTTTTTAAACTTTATGAACGTACTCTTAACTCTTGCCTTAAAATTAAGTTTGAATACTGAAAAGGCGAAAGATGTTAGTTAGCTTGTATTTGTTAGTTTTTGCCAATATTGATGCCACTGTCTTATCGTATGGCATTTTTACTCAACATTCATTTTTACACTTGAAATAATTTTTCCATACATCCAATTTTTTTTATTTCTACCACATAACGTAACGACAAAACTCTTCCTCCTCTTTATTACAAAAACAAAATTTGTATTTGACGTTTTGTCTTGTCTCTTCATGAATATTTCTATCAATATTTCTAATATTTATGTAGTTAATTAATTCTATTACAGTGCCCCCTTCTAATTTAAGTAAACAAGTCTTTTTTTTTCTTTTTTTTTTTTTTTTTAATGGTGTGACCTCGACTATTATTGCCTTACGTACAGTAGTATTAATGCTGATTGATTAGTATTTAATTTAATCCAATTAATTACTAGCTACATGTCTTTTTCCAAAATACTGAATGAATTGAAATTGAATGTCTAAATATATATTTTTTTCTTCGTTGCAATTCGACACAATCTATCAATGATTCTTATTCGGTGGTGCCAATTTCTTCAAAGCAGCTTTTACAAAGGGACAAGGATAATTAATAAAACGAAAACCTCTTGCTTTTTTTTTTATCTCATTATGCTTCTTCGGTCAAATAATTGACGTTGTCCTTCGTAAAAAGTTACATAATGATTTAAAAAATGTTGAACGGAAATAGGGAGAGATTGTCCTCAGCATGATTCTTGTGGCCACGCCCTAGTTAAAACAAGGTTTGTAGCTTCTCGTGTGTGTGGGAAGTGAACTTGATTTCGTTCTCATTAAACTGGGTTTATTACTTCCAGCCCAATTAGAAGTTGGTGCAGTTATAGATCAGATAATCTCAAATTTGACCGTATACCACCCATGTTTCAAATATTTTTGCATAAAAACTTAAAGAAGCAAGTTCTTATCAAATCAATGCCGCATTTTTATTTTTCTGGTTTTGGAAATAAATTCTACGTCGTAGCTTTCTCGGTTACTTTTTTTTTTTTTTTTTAGTGACTAAAGTTTAGTCTGTTAAAACATTCGGATTTAAATGAGGGGTGACTTATTTTGTCAATGTTTTTTCCTTTTAAAATCTTAAATATTTTAATAATCCGTTTCATGAAGTGAGAAGTGACTTCTGTTGTAGAAATGGGCCACGCCCTTCTAACTTCATGCGGGAATTCTTTATAATTAATTAAATAGGTTAACTATTTTATTTTTATCTAACAAGTCATTTTTTTTTCATTCTAAACTATTTCTTATGAATAATTGATGTTCTATGGCTAAACAAATGAGTCCTAAATGAAATGAACTATGAAGGCTTAGTTAGGTGGGTAGTAATTATTTTGTTAGCAATATTTTTAATTGTAACCCTTCTAGCAAAATAATTATGGTTACAAAAAAACTGTCACCAACCACTTTACTTTTATAATGAAATGAACTGATACCAAAAGGATGATTTTTTTTCCTTTTCCTACATGCCTGAGTGTCGAGCCCCACTTCATGTTTGATCGATGCCAATGACGACCACATCAATTTCCACTCCTTGTAATGTAAAATTATTCTGTCTATACACATGTGTAAATTTAAAAATCAATTCTGTTTTCTAAACATCTTTGATAACAATAACAAAAATTCTTATTTGGGAACAGTTTTTTTTTGGTGGGGGGGTTCGTTTAATTTTCTCTCTTGTCAAAAATTGTTACTCAACTCACAACTGTTACTGTAAAAGTAATTTGTCTTCATTGAAAAGGGTAAAAAAAAAAAAAGTAGCAAAAAAATTTTTTTTTATTTTTAAACAACTCTGTTCTCTATTCACTGGTTAGAAAACCATTAGTGGGCTTAAAAAATAATACCCTACCGTCCTAAAAAGTAAAATATGCTAATTAACAGAAAAATTATTGAAATCTGATTTAAATGGATTCCGTTTATTTATGAAAACTAAAAGTAAAAGGTGATTTTGTTTGCTTTTTCCAAAGTTCAAAGATTCGCTAAAAAAAAAAAAAAAAATGAGCATACAATACATGAACAAATGCCCCCTAAACTTATAAACAGCTTTTTTTTGTTTTGTTTTTTACTTTTTATGGCAAATCGTTAAGAAGAAAGACCTAATTATTCTGTTTATTTGGCTTTTTCTTTGTTTTATGCTTTTCAAAAACCTTCCAAAATCTTTTTAAATAATGCTTTTCTTGCCAACAGGTGACTATAAATTTTAAAATAATATGGGAAATTTGAGCGTCATTTTGCGGTGAAAAACATTCATTTGGAAATTCTTGCAAATTGTCGGATTTTAATGACTTTCAGAAACTGTTTTTTTTTTTTTTTTTTAACACATTTAATTTTTGGAAATTTCGAGAAATTAATTTATATATATATATATATATATATTTTAATTTATGGACACTAATTCTTTTTTTGTCTTTTGTTTTTTTCTTTTGATTTTTTTGTCTTTGGTTTTGTCTTGTTTTTTTTTTGTTGTCTTTTGTCTTGTTTTTTGTTTTTTTTTTGTTGTCTTTTGTCTTGTTTTTTGTTTTTTTTTTGTTGTCTTTTGTCTTGTTTTTTTTTTTTGTATTGTTTTTTTTTGTTGTCTTGTTTTTTTTGTTGTCTTTTTTTTTTTTTTTTGTTTTTTTTTTGTTTTTTTTGTTTTTTTGTTGTCTTTTCTTGTTTTTTTGTTGTCTTTTTTTTGTGTTTTTTTTGTTGTTTTTTTTTTGTTTTTTGTTTTTTTTGTTTTTTTTTTTTTGTTGTCTTTTTTCTTGTTTTTTTTGTTGTCTTTTGTCTTGTTTTTTTTGTTGTCTTTTGTCTTGTTCTTTTTGTTGTCTTTTGTCTTGTTTTTTTTGTTGTCTTTTGTCTTGTTTTTTTTTGTTGTTTTTGTCTTGTTTTTTTTTTTTTCTTGTCTTGTTTTTTTTTGTTGTCTCTTGTCTTGTTTTTTTTTTGTTGTCTCTTGTCTTGTTTTTTTTTTGTTGTCTCTTGTCTTTTTTTTTTGTTGTCTCTTGTCTTGTTTTTTTTTGTTGTCTCTTGTCTTGTTTTTTTTTGTTGTCTCTTGTCTTGTCTTGTTTTTTTTTTTTTTTTGTTGTCTTAAAAAAAAAAATGATTTGCATTCCTCAAAGCCTTGTGCTTTTAACTATTGTAATCACTAAACCCGATGCGATCGAATTTCTAGCGTTTTCATAAAATTAGTTATGGGGGTGGGTAATATTTAAAAAAATATTTCTGCCATGACTTTAATAAAAAAAGAACATATAATAATTTCGATCATCTTTGAATAGTTCCTGAAAGTTTCATTAACATCCGACAATTATTTATATTTTTGCAAGATTTTCCAAATTAATGTGTCATACCAAAAAAACATGCTAAAAATTGTCTGTTATTTACTAGTTCTGCTGATACAAAGAGAAACAAGTTTTTTTTTTTTTCTTTTTAATCAAAATTTAGAATGTTCTAA